ATATTTCTATCTTGCCTTCTAACTGCTGTTTATTTGTTTGTTTGTGTTTGTTTTGTCTTTCTTAATGAATAACATTTAGTCATTGTATATACCATAATAAAATTATATAAGGATATCTAAATCATTCCTTTTGTTTTTGTTTGAGACAGTGGTTCAATGTATATCAGAATACCCTTATTAAACTTAATGAAATAGTGAAAGAAACCTTAAACTTCTGATCCTCCTGCCTCCATCTCCAAAGTGCTTAGATTACAGATGTACACCACCTCACCTGGCTTATGCAGTGCCAGGAACTGAACCTAGAACTTCCTGCTAGGCAACCACTCTACTGAGTTATATCCCCAGCCTTAAAACATTTTTTGAAAACATTTCCAGCTGATATTTTGAACTAAGGAAATAATAGCGACATTTCACAACTGGATATAAAAAGCTAGTTGGAGTGTTCAAATTTTGAAGCACTAACAATTATATAGGAAATTTTTTTTTGAGACAGAGTCTCCCTGTAGCCCAGCTGTCCTGGAATTCACTATGTAGACCAGGCTGGCCTTGAGCTCACAGAGATCCTCCTGCCTCTGCAGGGACTAAAGGTGTATACCACCATGACCGGCAGGAATATTATTTTCATGCATCTATGTTCAATTCTGTTTTTCTGATGCATTAAAATCGTGTATACCCAGTGCACCAAGATGAGTTAGCACAGCTTTTGTCAAGTTTATCTAGAATGTTTTCCTTAATATATATTTAAAAAAATAAAAGGATATTGGTAAAAGAGATTACTCTTCTACACCCCGAATGCTTTTGTTTAGTACATGCACTAGACAATAAACTATCAGAAGAAATTGCTCTCCCATAATCCACAAGAAGGGATGCCACATAAACCAGGGTAAGAGTGCTCCATGTTTTCAGAGCACAGACTTTGCCATCCGTTAAGGATTTCAGATCAGGACCATCTGTCTCACAACTGAAAACAATTGACCACCAGCAACATCATGCCCCCTTTGTAGTTCCTGGCTTTTGCTAAGCAAGAAATCTTGTCTTTACCTTTGGGCAAAATGCTTAGTTAGGAATTCCGTACATGCTGCAAATCCAACTGCAAAATTTAGCAACTCCTTAGCTCAAAACAAGGGCCTGTGGGTATTTAAATTATTAATAAGATATTTCAACTGGTGATTTCTAAATCTGAATTTTTCTAAAGAGCTAGTTTTCTACTGAATTTTTTAAGCATTCATGATCTAACACCCTCATTTCATATCCCAGAGGTAAGACATATTGTTATTTTACTTTGCCTGATCCATTTTGACATAGAAACAAAGACATTCACAGCCATCCAGTCACTTTTGTTAGGCTGCTGAGTGAGCACATTTTTCAGTGTTAAAGAAATGAAATCTGGCTGCATATTGACACATATGTTTTGCATTATAAAAACAGAGTGATTATTCAAAAAAAGAGCAAGACAGAGAAACATAAGAGATTTGTTTCTCTTTTAAAAAGTGCTTATAAGAAAGGGTGGACTTTATTACCACCATGGCAATACTTCTTTGTAACAATGTCTACTCTGCATTTCAATCATTATATAGTGATTATCTACTGATGATTTTAATAGCTGATTTAACACAGTTTCCAGCACTTAAAATGCATGTATACTTTGCTAATATTCCTGATTTAAAAGTACTCATTTTAATTTGTGTTTCTTACAGCTATTATTCTCTTTATTAGCATCATAATTGAAGATACGGTATTGTAAATCTGTGCTTGCTCCCCCACTTTGTAGAACAATTCACTGAGAATTTTGCGCCTTAAACTATCTTCGTATTTTCTTGTTCCCTTTGAGATGTCTGCTAGAGCGAACTAGGAGAAAGGGAAATGGATTTTAGGTTATATCAATGCAATTCATATACAAAGTGCTTAGCTTCCATGTAGGATGGCTATGCGCCTGTCATATACATATATTAAATTAAAGTTCTACTTTGAAAGCAAGCATTGGGCTAGGGAGACAGCTCAGTGGGTAAGTAGTTGTACAAGCAGGAAGACCTAAGTTTAAATCAACAGAACCCATGTAAAGCTGGGTGTAATAACACTCATTTTGTAATCCCAGTGTTTCTATGGTGAGATAGGAGGTGGAGACAGGAGTGTTGAAGCCTGCAGGCCTGCCAGCCTGGTGGGTGTACATAGTTGTGGAGATCTAGAACCCCTATCTCAAACAATATGGAAGGCAAGGACTGATACCTTGGATTGTCCTCTAACCTCCACACATGAGCTGTGCCACCTGGATGCCTACACTCACACACAGATGCATGCCCATGCATGCACACCAATAGATAATGAAAAGTAAGTATTAACAACATTAACTATGTCTAAGTACAACGTTACTAAAATGGCAAAAGTAAACTTCTAAAGTAGCCATTTATGGAACTGGCATGCATTGTTTATAATCATTCAAGGGTTTTTATAACTTTGGATTAATAAAGAAAATTATATGCACTGTAGTTAATATTTTCTAACATGCATACAAAGCCTTCTATGTAGATGGATGTTAAGGACGAACCTGTCCTGTAATTCCCAGACAGACTTGTTTCTTCCTGTCTGCTTGTCACTAAATCTGAAGATTATGCTTTTTGAGTCATCTTTTTATGTGTTAAGAATAATGAAAGGCAACAAAGCTCAGGGTCCAGAAGCCAGTGTGCGCTTCACAGATGAATGGAGAACAAGCAGGGTTTTCACCTCTCGGTCACTCACTCGAAAGCAGATCAGGCCTCCTGGGATGTTGCCTGACAGCACTTTCATGGTATAAAAATGGGCAATAAAGAGATAGACTTAGTGATTCTCTCTGCTGAGAAGCCTGCAACCATGTCTTAGACAGGCATGTCCTTCCCATTCCTTGGTGCCTCTCTCCCCTTAAGGCCAACACATAAATCTATGTTAAAACAAGGTTTGTTCTGCTCGCTTTTTATTGATGTGTTTCTTCTTGATACTTTCATACAAGTATATAATAACTTTTGATTATCCCATCCTCTTTTATCTACTTCATACCTCTATCAAACCACCACCCTCATTTTTTCTTTTTTCTTTCTTTTGTTTTTTTGGACAGGGTCTCCCTAGTCCTAGCCTGCCTGGAACTCACTTTGTGGACCGGCTGCTCTTGATATCCCAGAGGTCCATTGGCCTCTGCGTCCCAGGGCTGGGATTCAAGGTATGTGCCACCATGCCCAGCAAGTCCCCTTATTAGATGACAAGGATGAAAATGAAGGCTGGGCTTATTTTCCCACATATTTATGAACCTTTCCAACTTGCATCATTTAAGGGTATTGTGTCACAGTTTTCTTCTGCAGGTTTCATAACCCAGATTTTATCAGTGTTGGAAAGGAACAGGGTCATTTCTTTGTTTCAGATGATGAACATAATTAATATACTGTTTTCATGTTTTTCAAAACAATAAAACTAGTCTCACCTACTTCTGATATTGTGAAGTACACCAACCTTAACTTGAGAATCACTAGTTCAAAGTAATTCTCAGTCATGGTTTCCTGTTTTTTTTAATATATAAGTAGGCTTTTGATAGTATATTGATATTGTTATGTGTTACATTTCAAAAGTAGTAAATACATATTAGCAAATATAGCCACTTAAAGCATTAAGTAGTAAACAGTGCATCAGAACTATCAAACGTAGTTTTGTGGAAGGATTGCCTATAAAATGAAAATGTTGAATAGGCATGATTATCAAAAAGCTTGCCTGCTCTACACTTTGGAATATAGTATTCTCAACTGCCTTTCATTTACAGGTATTTTTATATAATATATACATGTAGTGAATTCACATAGTATTGACAATAATTCTTCCCTGTTTGTCTATGAGTAAATCTATTTAAAACAGTTATTAAATTGGAGGCATTCAAGCATAATCATGTATGTAAAAATATTGATGCTTATAAATAAGAGCATCATTGATGTTCCATAAAATTATTTCACTCCAAATATTATTCTACATCATTTTCACCTCCTTTAGGTTTCCATTTAAATCTTTGCTTTTCAATAGTACATTAAATTTGCTTTGTGACAGAATTTGGCCTAAATGTCAGTTCGTATATATGACTCAAAACCGCTTTCCCTTAAAACATTGGAAACAAAGCTAGGGTTAAGTAAAGTTCTGTATATAAATTTTTTTTGATGCAAATATTAGAGAACTGAAAAGCCCTTTGTTTTCATTTTGCTTTTCAGTGAGTATATAATAAGAATTATGAGTATATTCCAAAATGTGGATACCAGGGAGCTATATATGCTTTGGATTGTTGTATTTTTATTTCTGAATAATTAGCTCAAAGGAAAAGATTACCCTTAGTCTGAGTACTTCTGTTGCATAGTTCAAGAGGTTGTGGGGAGGATAATGTATTTACTAAATCAAATAGTGAGCACGTACAGAAAGAGATAGGTCAGGGTGTCAAGGATTCCTGTACAAAAGCATATTCTCAAATGGAGATGTGAGGCTTTCGTTAGCCATAGATGTATATGCCTCAGGCTCCTTTGGTCTCTATTCATTGCTTAGCTGCTGATGAGCTTATACTCTTGTCTCCCCAGCCCAGACCTGCTCACTCCATTTGGTAGATCAAGGTTAAAGGGATAAATCTTAAATTTGGGCAAAAGGACTGCTTGAAGTCCTGTGACAAGATGAGGAAGACATGATACCAATATGTAGAGAAAATCGGCAGGTTGTATCACAGATTATCAATAGTGTTGAAATCCATATTTAGTATATCGACACTGAAATGTTCCTTCTCATCTGTGCTGTCCTGAGACTCTTGAAGAAAATTGTCTTTGATATATATGTTAACATGATAAACAAAATTGTGTTTGTTTTAATTTTTGTTGTTAATTTGTGAGACAGTATTTATATTACAATAATTTAAAAATATTCCTAAAGCAGAAAATTTCACAGACTAATTATGTTGACTATGATGAAAGGGTGTAAGAAAAGAGAACATAATTGTTAATGTAATTTCTTAAACTGGTACAATTTCAAAGATATTTTGCTTCAATATAAGGATTATAACTTTCCACGATAGTTTTGCCTCCCCTTCTCTCTATGACCTGTCAAGAAAAGTCCCAATCTCTGTTGATGTCTATGTATTTTTCTGCACTTAAGCAGGTAACATGGCCAGTACACACACACACACACACACACACACACACACACACACACACACAGAGCTTATTGATGTAAACATATACAGAAATCTTTTTGTCTTAATTTACATTTGGTTTATTGTTCTATCAAGCCACCAAAATTATTTAGAAATTTGTTCACCTCTTCAACTCATCCTATTTTGAGATGATTATTTTTGGTATTTTTGGCTTCCTCTCTGACCTTCTTTTCTCTAATCCCCATTTCTTTATTATGCTAAGAGTTAATGACTTACATCTTATTTAACAGAAAACATCTGCACTCAGAAGAGAAATGCCATATTTTCCCACTACCAAATAATGAAGGCAGCAAGTAATTCTGTGTGTTCCCAGGAGTCAGGCCTCCCCTCCCTTCTCTGTCGCGAGTGAGCTGTTCTTCCATTGTCTACGGATAGTGACTTTATTTGTGGATTTGATCATATCCCTTCATGCCTGCTCAATAAATTTGTTCCTGCATTTATCCCTTCTCTTTTCTGTATCATCAGTTTTCTCCTTTGAGTTTCCCATAGCATCCACATGTAGGTGATAGCTCTAATTAAAATGTCTATTTATTTAGCTCATGTCACCCTTGGGTTCCTGCCTTATTTCTTTGCCTCTATTTGTAGAAACTCTTTAAGATTTTCTATTTCCTTTGTCCAGTTCCTCACTTCTTATTCTGTCATGAATCAACATTAGTCAGACTGTCTTAGCCGTGAATCTTTTGAATCCTCTGTGTTAAAATTACGAGTATTCTCCCATTATGGAACTGGTAACATTCAAGTTGCTTCTTTGTAAATCTCTAAAAAAAAATTCACTCAATCATCTTTTTTTCCCAAAGAAAGCATTCTTCATTTTGATGCTAGAACAAGACACTTTTTTCATTATTATTTTCCTTGAATGACTCTCCAGAATCCAGAATCCAACTCTGGCTTATTTCCTTATTGTACCTTATGTATAAAGTGCACTTTTAAAAACTGAGTTGTTGAATAATTTGCTCACCCTGGATACTCACAGAACATGAAAGTATCTTCTACTCAGATTTAACAGTCATTACATTAATATTTTACTGCATTTTCTTCAAAAAACCTTTTAAGCACAACAATATATTACCTGTTTAATGTAATCCCACTTTGTATCACTCCTCAATTCCAATTCTTTCTATCATAATTTGTTATGTACTTTCATAACTTTTGCAAAGACCTGTTGAGTCTAATCTGTTTTTCCCACAGGCTCCTAGATGTGAGTCTCTCTATCACTTGGAGTCTGGTCAGACTACCAGGCATCACACCTTTAAAGAAAAGTGACTCTAGCCAGGTGTGGTGGCATGTGCCTTTAATAACAGCACTTGGGAGGCAGAGGCAAGCTGATCTTTGTGAGTTCAACACCAGCCTGAACTCTGTGAGTTCAGGCAAGATGGGGCTACAGGGAGACCCTGTCCCAAAAAAATATAATAGGAAGAAAGAAAGAAAGAAAGAAAGAAAGAAAGAAAGAAAGAAAGAAAGAAAGTAATGTTAGAGTAGCAAAAAGCCCCAAATAGGAAGAAAGAAAGAAAGAAAGAAAGAAAGAAAGAAAGAAAGAAAGAAAGAAAGAAAGAAAGAAAGAAAGAAAGAAAGAAAAAAAGAAAGAAAGAAAGAAAGAAATGAAAGTGACTCTCCCAGCAGCTATCAGTTGCCAATAGTCGTGTGGCTAGGGTTGGGATTTCTTGCCCACTTCCCTTGTCCATGCTGGGGTTTTGTTTGGCATGGGCTTGCATAGGTAGTCTGCCTACTGTTACAAGCACTGTGGATTTATATGTGAAATTGCCATGTTCTGTTCACTACACATATTTTCCTTGTATTCATCCATGGTCTCTGTCTCTTACAATCTTTCTGTCCCTTTTCCCCCAGTGATCCCAAAAGCTTGGGAAGAGAAGATGTGATAGAGGGTGTCCCATTTAGGGCTAAGTACTCTTCAGTCTCTTTTATTTTACATGTAGACCAGATGTGGACCTCTGTGTTTATTTCTATCTGTTGCAAGAAGTTTCTCTGGTAAGAACTGAGAAATGTACCAATCTATGAGTATAAGAATATTTCAGTAACATATGGGAGTCAATTTAATACTATGTCAATTTATCAAAATACTGGTAGTAAGTTCTCTCTTACAGCCTGTGACATATGTAGCCACAGGTTCTTGGCCCTGATAACAGTGCCAGGTATGGGCTCTGTCTTGTGAAGCAGAAAGTGGTTGGTAGCTCCCATAACATTCATGCCATTATTGCACCAATGGGCATGTCTTGGCAGCTCAGTTGTTATTGTAGCTCATGGGGTCCACAGGTAGGTAAGATTGATAATTATCTTTCTCTTCCAGAAGCATGCATCAGAAGGATTAATATTGTGAAAATGGCCATCCACCAAAGGCAATCTACAGACTCAATGTAATACCCACTAAAATTCCAATACAATTCTTCACAGAAGTGAAAACAAAATTCTCAAATTTGTATGGAAGCACAAAAACCCAGGCCAGCCAAAACAATTCTGAAAAGTAAATAAAAGAACTTTAGGAAGCCTCATCATCCCTAATTTCATATTATACTGCAGAACTATAATAATAATAACAGTATGGTAGTGGCAAAACCAGACACGTTGATTGGTGGAACAGAACTGAGGAACCAAATTTATGTCTACACACTTGTAGCCCCCTGACTTTTGACAAAGTGGCAAAAAAAAATACATCTGAAAAATGACAGCATGTTTGACAAATGGTGGTGCTCAAATTGGGTAGCTACATATAGGGGAATGAAACTAGAATCCTATCTCTCACTCTGCACAAAACTACAAATGAATCAAGGACCTCAACATAAGACCTGCTACTCTGAATCTGATAGAGGAAAAAGAAGGGAATGTACTGGAACTTATAGATACAGGAAAGGACTTTCTGAAAGGATCTTCGATAGTGCATATATTAAGACTAGCAATTGTCAAATGGAACCTCATGAAACTAAAGAGCTTCTGTATAGCAGAAGCTAAAAAGCATCAAATGAAGAGGCAGCCTACAA